ATGTATTCTTCTTTAAGATTAAATAAACTCTTAAAATACTTGTTTGATTACGGAAAAAAAAAAAAAAAAAAAAAAATACTTTCCTATATAACAACAAGTGTTGATGAAACCATGTTTATAAAAGGTCAAATATATATTGCTATAAGCCGTGTTACATTATGGAAAAATTTATGAATCTTAAGTTTCGATTACTACAGCCCTAGAAGAATACAAAAGAAATATGCAGATCATTACTTAAAAAACTGAAATATCCCATGCCAACTCAACGCAATGCAATTTGACAGCACTAACCCTTTGCGCCTGAATTCGTGTAACATAAATTTTTGCCGGCGTAAAATGCAACTGGTCTTATGACCAGTCAAATATTTGTCATAATCGAAACCCTGTTTGCTTAACAAACGAAATTACATGATGTTATCAATACTGTATAAAAAAGGGAATGAATGTGATTATGTACGTAGTTTTAGTCCGTGGCGCAACTAGCGGAGTATAATTATATAAATGTGTATCACTCATTTCATGTATGTTTTAAATCCCTTTTTTCTTCTTGTTTTTACGAAATATAATGTCCAGCAAAAATGATTATGTAGCTGTTCCTTGCGAGGAACCGAAACAAGGTAAAATTTTACCGAAATGAAATTAAATGAACTGTGAATATAGTATTTAATAAAAAGAAATTAATATTTATATTACTTTTTATTACTGCAATGTGATTATGTTTGATCATTAAGAAGCACCTGTTTATTGTAAAGAACTTCCTGTAAATGATGCTAGCGCCTCCTCTTCGTACAAATGTTGCAAAAGAAGAGCATGGAAAAAAGCAATTCTAGTTGTTCTATTCTTGTTCTTAGGCGGTCGCTTCTTATTTGCTGGTCTCTTCTACCTTCTGTTTAGCGGTTGTGAACATGTGAGATTTCAATATTTTATCACTTAATGTCGCTTTATTGTACAATAACATGTTTGATCTTTCATATAGAGGCTTAACAGCGACCTTAACGATCGATATGGTTTGGTTGTCCCCAAGATGCCAAATGAACCAGCATGCGACCCTACGTTCAAGTGGAATGGGCCAAGTGAATTGTTAGTTGATCCTCGTGATGTTACTGGATTGATCTTTAATGTTAAAGGAATGTCAGCGGTAAATTAAAAACTTATTGACTTTCTTTTTCATCTATTTTTGTTTGATAATCGTTCTTTGTTATATTGAAATAATAGCATGGAAGTATTATTATTCGTCAAGACCCACATGCCAAAGACTACATAAATATTACCAATAATATTTTCTTATCTGAAGAAAGTCTTCAAACCGATGTTGATATTAAAATTGATATCATTGATGAAGATTATACCATTACCGTTGAGGTAATTATTCTGTTCACGGTTGTTTTTATGGTAATTTTCCATACTCTAATTTATTTGTAAATTTCCTAATCTGTTCACTTTACAGGCTCCTTCATTTGACGGTCCACGCCCCACAGAAAAATGTGTCATCGTAAATACTATAATTACACTTCCCAATCACCTTCATTTCTTCCGATCCTTGATCGCTGATGTTCCAAACAGTTGGGTTGTTGTCGAAGGATTAGGAAACGTTGATTTTGCTTATGTTAGCTTGAAGACCAGAAATGGTCATATTAAGGCACAGGTAGCTATTTGTTGCTCTTTTTTTACTAAGTTTAAATTTTGTCATTTTTATTTTATAAATATGAATTTAAATAATTAGGATCTTAATGCCGCTATTGCTGAAGTCGCCACTATTAATGGACATGTTCAGGGTTCATATATAGTTGCTGAGAGTTTGGATGTATGTAGCTAGCAAAACTACTATTCCATTTAATGTTTTATGATTAATTTATTTTACTCACATTAAAAAAGATCCGCACCGTAAATGGAGCAATTGATGTTGATATCTTTGCAAACGCCTGGTCTGAAGATATCTCTCTTACCACCAAATCAATGAATGGTCATTTGAACATATCAGTGGTATGTTTACGAAGTTATTCATGATCTTTTTATGACTTTCTAAAATTAATATTTTCATTAGTACGACTTGATTGAGACCCAAACTTTAAACCTTAAAGCTGGTTCCGTCAATGGAGGTGCCGTTGCCAGCTTGGTATGTAAAGTTTCCAATTTTACATCATCATTTCGCAAGGATCAAATATAACTCACTAATAGTTAATATTTAGCCTGATTCGTACTCCGGCGATTTCCATGTCACCACCTTAATTGGCTATGCCTATGTTGAAGGTAGCAATATTACATACATAAAAAATTTGCGAAATGCAAAGATTGGTTACAAGAACAAGAAAGATGAAGATACTGATGTCCACCGCAAGAAGCACAATTCTCGTGACGATTCTCATGTGACATTAGAGGCTGTCACTGGATCTGTTGAATTGTACTTCTTGTAATCAATCATAATTATATTACGTGAAGGATTTATTGTATTATACTACATGGGAGGTGTGGTGTCTTTCATAAGACGGTTTTTCTTTCCTATATTTATACTGCCATTTTATTATTAAATTTTGAATCACCTTTTGGGGGTTGTCGACAAAATTAACCCGTTGGTAAAGAAATTATGCAATCCGAATTATCTTGCTTGTATATGAAATATGTAGGTTGGAGTTTTATTAATGTTTTAAACAATGAAAGTTGACAATAAAATTGAATTTATTTGCAAATTCTGTTAGATGACAATTATAACTTGTTAATGAAAAAATAAAATTCTTATTAAAGTCACTTTCCATGATAATTAATCGTAAAAAATATATTAGTTAAATAAGTACTTTTAATTAAAATATAAAAATTTTATTATAATCTATATGTATAACAAATTATATACAGTTCTGGCGGAAAATTTTTATAGCTTAGTATTGATCTTAAATACATATTTATTATAACTTGTAATAAAGTTACAAGGTATTTTAGAAGTCAATATTTAATAATATCACTATTTCTTGCAATACGAGCGTGATGTGCTCTACCATCGACTTTGTCTATTCTATACAATTGTCAAAATGCTTCATTTTGATAAATAGTTTTTTTTATAACTGTATTAACATTTTTTAATTTTTTCATCACAGTTTACAAATTTCAATTGAATTAATATGATAACTAATCAAGAAAACGAGCAAGAAAGGCTATTATATACTTGATCTGATGTTTTGAGTCATGCTTTACTAAAAATTTGCATACTTGAAAATAATTTTATAAATGTTATTATAGAACTTTTTTTTTTTTTTTTCCGTAATCAAACAAGTATTTTAAGAGTTTATTTAATCTTAAAGAAGAATACATATTAGTTT